GTTCGCGATCTCCTCCGCCTAATCCGGGGTGGAAGGCTGGCCAATCGGAGCGGGATCCTGCCCCGGGCAGTCGCCTCGTCGGGCGGCCGCAAGGAGAAGTGGCGCCGAGGCCTGACGGGCGGCGAGCAACCCCAATATGGTGGCCGACCAGCTGCAGAGACCGGATGTAGTCGGGGATGGAAGCTTCGGAACAAAGGAAGCGAGAGGAGGCGAGAGAGCGGAGGGGGTGGGGGGGAAACCGCTGCTTTCCTAGGTGCAGAGACCCCTAGTGGTCGCGGCCGGGAAGACACTCCGCTGCTCGAACTCGGGGGACTCCGGGGGAGAAGAAGGCCGATTAGTTAAAGAAGGCTCGCGGATAATAATCTCTTGCCTGGGCTTGGAAGCTAAGCAGGTGCCGACTTGGGGAATATTAACCTTTGAGAGGTCATCACAAAATCCCAGGATTAGAATGCTGACCAGGGTTCCTCAGACTTGGCAGCTTTTTAAGATGTGCGGATTTCAACTCTCAGAATTCCCTACCCAAAGAGGTCAATCGTTTGAAACAATGTTTATTGATTCTTTTCTTTTCTTTTTTCATTTGGTGTGCTGCCAGACCGAAAAGATTCCTAGCAGCTCACAGCCACAAAAGTATTTTTTTTAATGTATTTAAAAAAACAAGTTACGATGAATGTAGCTGCATTTTAAGGATGAAAGTGCACACACTAGCATAAGATAACGTCCCCTTTCCGAGGTCCAGAGAAATAATTCTGTTTTGATTGACCCTTTGAATGAATTGTTGCTGGCCTGATCTCTAGGGAAGATGTGTTGTTAGGTACTCAAATGGGCTGTCCTGGGGTCCCTCAGATCTCACCTCATGTGGCCTGTCACTTTCTTATATGGGATGGATTAGTTTCACCTCCATCCTGAGAAGATTCTGCACAATTTTTTTTTTATGAACATCTTTTGAGATTGACTCCCAAAATTGTTACAGCTGGACAGTAGAGAGATAATAAAATGAAGCTGCTCACCCTGAAAAACATAAATCAAATACTTAAACACAGATTCTACACACCCTCGTATTTCTTTTTCTACAGTTCTGAGTGAGGCATCCTCCATTTCAGCGTTCATGGACTGAAATAGTGCCCATCAGCAACTATTTGGAAGACAGAGACCTTATTCCCTATCCAGTCACTTTCCATAGATTTTAGCTTTTTTAAATAAACAACAATATTTTCTATATAAAGGAGGGAGGGAGGGAGGGGGGAGGGGGGAGAGATGGAGCCCCTCTATGAGTGAGATGGGTGGTTAAGATGTTTGATATATAAATAATTAAAAAATAAAATAAAATTCAGTGCTTCTGGGGTTTCTGACATTTGTATGTGTCAAAAAGCCACTCTTACTTCTCAGGGATGTAGTTTATAAGTTTGAAGCTTGCAAGTTACATTCAGAAATGCAAGACACCACAAATCTGAATTTTACTCAGTCATTCAGAATTCCTTCACTCCCATTGACAAAACTGTTGACTGCACAAGTTTAGGTGATCCCATTTTTGGCCTCTTCCCCTCCCTATCTGCTATTTCCATGTGAAATTACCACCCTGCTCTGTTTATTAAACAATTTAATGTGTTTCATCTTGAAGGCTGGACTGACGTTCAAGCGAGAGATGAAGACAAAGCCACAACTCAAAAAACCTTGGGGAATGTTGTGAATGTAGCCAACTCAGAGTTACTCAACAAACGATCGTTTCAGATCAATACATAACTGTTGATCACAGATAACAAGGAACACTGTCTACTACCTTGGGTGAAATCAAAGTGTCAGCATTCTTCAAACCATCCACTAAGCCTCTAATTAGGAAATAAATCCAATTAGGAAATAAAATAAAATAAAAGAGTAACCAGTGTGGTTGAGGTTGTTTTTAATTCTGTCAGACAAGCAGCTTTCTTGTCAATCTTTTTAATGCCTCTAATGCTTCTTCCTCCTCCCTCACCTTACTCCTGTATTAATCATAGACTCATCAAGTTGGAAGGGATCTCAGAGGTCATCTTACCCAACCTTCCATTCAGTGCAACACTTGGTAATGCAATTTTGACCGCTTCGGTTTGAAGATCTGCAGTGAAGGAGAACATATCACTTCATGAGTCGATCTGATCCACTGATTAATACCTCTTTCCATCAGAAGATTCCTCCTAATATATAACTTGAATATACTTTCCTCAAGTTTCAACTCACCTGTCAACCTGCAAAACGACTTCAGGTGAAGCCATACTTATTTCTGCTTTGTTTCTTGGTTGTCATTCAAGGGGGAGAGAGGGACAGCATGGAGGGGGGAACTCGGGAATGTGGTGCTTCAGCCAGCTAGCCATAGCATCTACCAGCCAGTGTGAGAACCAAGGTCATGTCAATGGACAACTGTTGAACTGTTGAACTGTTGAATCTGGATTGATTGGCCCATGTGACTTGAGAGACAAAGGAAGGTGGGGAGGGCTTATTCTTTGAACTATCCCTAAGCGCAGGAATAATTTAGAGCTGGCTTTGCCTTTCTAAGTGCCAATATGATGTACTCAATAAAGGATCTCTTGAACCTGAACGAAGTGTCAGAGTCTTGGTTACCCTGAGTTCATTACTCGGAATGGACATCACTAGTTGTAGTTCTGCCCTCTGGTCAACAAAGAACAAGTCGGTTCCCTCCTCTAGGGGGCACAATGGCTCAACAGTTAAAGACATTGATCTTGACACTGGAGCTCTGGTTCAACACTCGAACTTCTGCCAACCTAGCAGTCTGAAATCAAGCAAATGGGAATTGATAAATAAGTACCTCTTCAGTGGTGGGAAGATAAAGAGTTTTCCGTGGGTCTCAGCATATAGCCATGCTGGTCACATGACCACAGAAATGTCTTTGGACAACACTGTTTCCCTCAGCTAAGAAATGGAGGTGAGCAATTGCCCCTTAGACACGACTGAACAGGGGAAAATGGGGAACATCATCAGGCCCAGGACAGATCAACTCTGTATCTATCACCAGCTTGATATGGATCAGTTTGTATGTATTTTCTGAGTACAGTCTTTCAGTCAGTCTTAGTTGCCACCTATAGCCTGTATGGATATAATGAAAGATTTTGTTGAAGGCTTTGTTGAAGTCAAGGGACACTATGTTCTGTACAATTAAAAGGTGGTAACTCTCCAGGAGATAAGGTCTGCCTGGCCTAACTTGTTATGACAAACCCATGCTGGCTTTTGTTAACTTTTGCATTCCTAGCTAGGTACACAAACACACTGTTTAATCATCCGTTCAAGGGCTTTGCTGGAGTGCAATGTCAACTGAGAAATCTGTAGTTCCCTAGATGATTCTCCTTCCATTTTTGAAGACAAAAACATTTGCTGTCCTCCAGCCTTCTGGGAACTCACCAATTCTCTCTCTTATTATTATTTACAGTTTAAGACAACACAAATATAGCTGCTTGATTGCAGCAGATGTTGTGCGTGAAGGTCACTAGACTCCTATGTGAGATTATGTTGTAAAACTTGCTGGAACCTAAGCCTTGAAGGGAGATTGGAAGGTGAAGAGGGTTAAAACTCTGTGTAGATGTATTATCTTTTTTTTGCAAGAATATGTCCAGGCATTATCAGCCATTTTAATAGCAAATGTTTTGGAGACAGCCTGTCTACTTGATTGTTAACATCCTATGCCATATCTCCTTTTATCTCTGCTAGAGGAATGGAGTGATGGGAGAAGCAAGCAAAATCCATTCAACAAACTTAACTCTTTAGAACAGGGGTCCCCAACCACCGGGCCGCGGACCGGTACCGGTCCGTGGAACATTTCCTACTGGGCCGCCGGTTTGCTGGGCGCCGCCATCTTGTTTGACGAGAAAGTGCTTCTGGGTGTGCTTTTCCGGTTGGAAAGTGGCGTTTGGGTCCTGAAGGAATCCTCGCCCCTTAGTTTCATTGAGGGGGGGGCTTCGAACGAAACTAAGACGCGAGGATTCTTTCAGCACCCAAGGCAAGGCGAGCCGAGTGACCGTCCCGAAGCCGTCCCGAAGCGAAGCCCATTGACAAAGGTACAAAGGAGGAGTTGAAGGTGGCGGGGAGAAGCGGGGGACAGCTGGCTGGCCGGTCGCTCGGCTCGCCTTGCCTTGTCATACGTGCTGATGCCGGTACCGTGCCGCGGATCATTTTGTGATGCTGGTACCGGGCCGTGGCACAAAAAAGGTTGGGGGCCACTGCTTTAGAAGATAGAAATGAAGCTAAGGACGTTCAAAGAAAGATGAAAATCCAAGAAAACACTGGACCTTAAAAAGAAAGAAGCCTTTGGAGTTGTTTGGGTATTCAAACATCTTGCCACTTGGATAGCTTCACTGGATAAAAGACATTTTTAAAACAGGTTTGCTAATATTAATGCAATACAGAAGTCCAGATTTCAACATGCTGGGGACTGCCCGAGACAGTCTGAGGTAGATTAAATACAAATATTACAAGATCCAATCTGGTTCCATCACCGGGACCAGAAGTTTACTTTTCCACAAATATCATATTTAATATTTGCCTTTATAAAGCCCTTCAGTCAAGGATTACTTCAGACAAGGCTTTAAGGACGCATTCCAGTGTTGCTATAACTACAGCGATCATATCTTCTTGGGGGAAAAAAATAAAGGCCAAACCTGAAAAAGGGACGAATCTGAGATAGATTCGTTAGGATAAAAAAAAAAAAATTGTTTTACAAAATAAAATTCGAGGGCAAACCCTAGAAACGAGATAATGGAATCCAATAAATGCAAATGACAGTTTTTTGAAATACAGGGCTAGAATAAAGGATATAGAGTTACTGTAGATGTTGCTACCCCCATAAGGGAAAGACTCAGGAAAACAACACCCTTTTGTCTGTAAGGTCGAATCCGCTCGCCGTCCCCTGCCATTGTGAAGGCAGAACACCTGAGTCAAGTTCGGGGCAGGGAGGCAGCCGGCCAGCAGAGGGCGCCGTGCTCTCACGACCAACGAAAGGAGGCGCCGCCTCCACCGCTCCGTCTGTCAATTACCGACCATTTTAGACGCAGCGCCGCCTGGTTGTCCCGGGCTGGAGGCGCTTCGGCTTTCCAGTCTGGATCGTTAATTGCTGCTGCAAAAAGGAGGAGAGGCGAAGGTACCGGGTTTAGTCAGGGAACTCGATGGGAAACTAGATTTGCCGGCTGGTTAAGGGCTCCTTATAGTCGCAAGCCGGGTTGATCGTGATCGCAGAAGCCAGGCTAGTCGGTGTGTGTGTGTGTGCAATGTAGTGGGAGGTCGGTGGAGGCAAAGGGGGGCGGGGATCCAAGCTATGGTTGCTTATTTTGTGCACTGATCGTGCATTAAACCTGGACTTTCCTGCAGGAGATGCACAAGATGCTTCTTCTCTTTCGCCTTTTGCACACAACAGCCCGGTGAGGTAGATCGGTTGGTAAAAAAAGAGGTTGTCACTGCACAAAGTGGACTTGAACCCTGCGTCTGATCCAGCACTTTAATTGCTCCGTACTCCCTGGCTGCGCTGTTGCTTGCTGGCTGCCTTGGGGAGCAGAAGGACAGCTTTGTGCATTTCTCCATTCTTTGCTTTGTCCCTCTTGTGTGGTTGCTTGTGCTTAAACCATTAATTAGCTGCCCAGAGTCACTGGGAGGTGTGTGTGTGTTTGTTTGTTTATTTAATGTATTCCAAAAGACCAAGATCCTTTTAACATGCATTAACAGCCAAGCCAAGTTTCCCCCATCTTATTATCTTCTAATCTAGAGTATTAGCCATTCTTTCATGGGTTGTGTGTCATCTACAGTTTTTTTATAGCAATTCTCAATTATCTGGGTGATGGTTGTCCCAAAGATGCTTTTTCCAAAAGGCAAGGGTCCCCCCCCCCACTTTGAAAACATTTCCCTTCTGAATCTGAAGGATTTGAAAGAATTGAACTGAAGAAGCTTTTAAGATGAGAAATGCAATGTTTTCAAAGGAACAAGAAACCCCTAAAAAAGTCGTTCCTTTTGGGAAAAAGTACTTTTGGGTCATCTGCATATGTAATCTTCATCCCCTGAACCCATTCATCCAGGTTATTAGTAAAAAGGTTGAACGGCCCAGGGCACACAAGCCCTCTGGCAGTCCGCTTGATATCACTTTCCATTGGAGGTACTGTCCAGATGCAAACATTCAGCAAATGAAGTCATCTATCTATTATCTATCTCCCATCGCTCATATTTGACTCCTTTATTAATGAGAATATAATGATGTTATTTATAAAAAATAAAGGTGGGATAACAAATAAATAATAGCTCTGTCAGAAAAAAAGAAAAGATTAGTTTGACAAACCAAGCTGGCTCTAATTAATTATTGCATTCCTTTCCAAGGACTCAGAGGCCTTGTTTAACCGTCTGCTTCAAAACTTTGCTCAATATAGACATCAAGCTTTACAGATCTGTAATTTCCCAGATTCTCTTCTCTCCCCCCCCCCCCCCCTTTTTTTTTTTTTTTTTGAGGACAGCAACATTGGCTACTTTCCAGTTTCCTGGAATACCAGTTTTACAGAAGGTCACAAGAGCCACAGTTGGCAGTTCTGCTTAATTTCTGTATTCTAGGGAGTAATTCACCTGGTTCTGGAAAGCTGAAATTTGTTAAATTAGCTCAGTGTTCTTTTACCCTCTTGTGTACCTTGAATTGCAACTCCCTCTTTCCGTTTGTGGTACAATAACAGTGGCCAGTTAGGCCTTTGTTTTCCTTCTGCGAAATGTAAAAGATGAGGTAACAGATTCTACCTTCTTATCATAACCTGTTATCAGTTTACTCCTTTCTCCCGGCAACAGGCTGATAGCCTCTTGGCCTTTTCCCCAAATTTCAGCACATTCTGATTTTAGCTGTATTGAAGTGTTTCCAGTAATATTTGTTGACTGACTTGTATCCTTTGGTTTTATGTCCTTCTTTCCATTTCCTATAAATGTGCCTTGAAAAAAATGCCCACACAGATCTCTTTAGATGTCTCTCATTTTTTTCCCTTCTACCATAGTAGCGTGCTAAATTCTGGTCCCATTTGGTGGTTAAGTCAAGGATTATTTGTACTTTGTGCTCCCAGTTCCTGACTGGGTCTGTGTAGCCCCTGGAGATCTGTTTAGGGTTTCTTTTATCAGGATTGCTGATCCCCATGTGAATGATTGGGAAGAGGTAATTATTGATGGGATTGAAGAGGTTTGGCATCTTTCTGTCACATCTTGCTCCCTCTCATCAGAGAACTAGCTACCACCAGAATACAGGTTTTTTTCCATGCAGGATTTTTCAGTTTACTGGGGCCCAAGCACCTTCTGCCCTATTAGGATTGATAAGACTTGCTTATGGACTGTAAATTAGCTTCTTGAGTAGTGTTTCTCAACCTTGGGGTTGAGAACGGGAGCTGAAGTCCAGACAGCTTCAAGCCACCAAGGTTGAAAAACACTGTAATCTAGAGCAAGCATCCGATACCGATTGCTGAGATTTATTGGACATAAATACTTTATTTATTTATTTTGCTTCTTTGAAGAAAAGCCAATAAACCAGCTGTTCTTATTTGTAAATAAATCTTAAACCCATTGACTTATATAGTATACACATGTGCAATTCTGGATTCCTTGGGGGAATTTTCTCTTGTTTAAAAATCCTCCTTAGGCATCTGGGTTTGATTGTTGGAATTGTAGTATTACTATAGGACTAATGGAATTCATCAGCTGTGATATAATAAATTGTTTCTTCTCTAATTTCTGGGCAGATAAAAAGTTTCAGTCTCTGCTTCCCTGGAATACTTCCTGTTCTTCTGTCTGGCAAGATGGAACTTCCTCAGGTAGGTCGTTTTTAATAGGTCTTTATTTGGCTTTGTTTTGGAGAGCAAAAATGCCTAAGAAGGGAACACGGTGGCTGCCCTCCTTTTATCCTTTCTGCCTATGTGAGCAAAACTGGGCTCCACGGGAAATGTTCTTTTGGCTAAGAAAATCGATATGTGTAAACTAACCCCAGGTAAACTTATTTCATGACCCTTCCAACAAAAAGAGTGTATTTTCCATACACTGTGAGAATCTCTAGAAAATAATGTATTGCTTTAATAGAACAATAAATCCAGGGGTTCAAATATGACAATATGGAGCCTACGTTATTTTTTATTCAGCTACATGTACCCTGAAGATGTACTCCAGTAAAGTTTAACAGTGGGAATAATGCCAAAAGATAATAGATTTAACATTCACTAGAGGCTAGACAGTCATCCATTGGAGATGATTTTAACACGATTCCTGTACTGGAAAAGGATTGCCTGTGTTATTGTTACAAAGAGGTGAAACAGCTCCATTATTACAGCAAAGATTATGGCCAGAGACTGACGGTGGAACATACCAGAAACTGCTCCTGTGGAAGTTCCAATTCAAGCTAAATTGGAAGAACAAAACCAACTAGTTTTCAGATACGATCTAGAGCGCTGATCCATCATTTTCAAGAAGAGCATCAGGAATTTCTTTGAAGTCCTGAATCTTCTTGGTCGGGAACAGGAAGAACTATGGAATGAAATCAAATAAATTGTTAAAGGTTGAAGGTGAAAAGAGGGTGTCAAAGAAAAGAAAAAAGAAAAGAAAGCAAACTGAATGTCAGGCGCGGGAGTGAAAATTGCTAAGAAGAGAAGGAAAACCAAAGCAAAGAAAGAACAATGATCTCAGGAAGAAACTTAAAACATTTCAGAGACTGTTAGACAAGGTTTATTACAACAGCGGTCCCCAAACTTTGCGGATTGGCAGACCCGGTTGGAGGGGAGAGAGGAATGGCGCCACATGAGTGGTGGGCTGGCACACACGCACGCACGCAGCTCCACTCAAGTAAGAGGTAAGTTTTTAGGGCGCCACTCATGGAAATGGAGCTGTGCATGCACATTGGCCTGCCTCTCACGCGGCCTGGTTCCAAATAGGTTCCAGCCTGGTAGTGGGCCATGGCCCAGGGGTTGGGGACTCCTGCATTACAACATCACAGACGGAAACATTCATGGGCGAAGACAAGGAGAACCTTGCAGAAGATCTCTGAACTTAGAAGATTCTGTTCTTAAATTGGCGTGCTAAGGACTCTTCATAAATAGATAATACTTGGTTGACAGAAGGTCAGACAAAGGAGTTTATTGGAATTCTGTGTACGGCAGTGGGAATGTCAACATTCAAGATATTCCCTGTTTTCCAGATCTCTAGTACTAAAAGACAAGGTTAAATCAACACTGCAGTCATTACCAAGTTGGAAGGCTAGAAAAATATGGCAAGCTTTCAAAGACAGGTCAAGATTCTTAACCAAACTCTGCCAGCATATCTGGACACAGTGGCCAAAGTCATGAAAGAAGTCAACACAAAAGAAAAGAGACTTAATATAGTATGTAAGCTACAGACAGTCCTTGACTTATAACCATTCATTCAGCAACTGGTCAAAGTTACAATGGAACTGAAAATTGCTTTTCACACACTTACAACTGTTGCGAGGATCCCCACACTCATGTGCTCAAAATTTGGATACTGGGCAACTGGCATGTATTTGTCATGGTTGTAGTATCCTAGAACAGTGTGATCCTCTTTTGCAAACTTCTGACAAGCAAGGTCAATGGGGAAGCCAGACTCACTTAACAACTGTGTAACAACTGCAGCGATTCACTTAATAGCTGTGGCCAGGAAGGTCATAAAATGGGCAAAACTCCATTTTTCTTGCCTAGCATGAGAAATTTTGAGTTCAATTGTTTACGTAAGTCAAGTACTACCTATATCAGAGGTCTCCAAACTTGGCAACCTTAAGACTTGTGGGCTTCAACTGTTGAAGTTGAAGTCCACAAGTCCTAAAATTGCCAAGTTTGGAGACCCCTGACCTATATTATACAATACGCTTAATTTCACATTCCAGCAAATTAATAGAAATATCAGTGAATAAGTTTATGACTGCCGTGTTCTCTTCATGTCGGTGACCCATTTTTACAACCATCACAACCGATGACCTTGATGTATAGACTCCATTGTGGTTATCAGTCAAGGACTCCCAGGGCAATTATGTGATTATATGATTTTTTTTTTTTTTGTTATTCACTTCTACAGTTCTTAATTCTTAGTTCGTTCAGTTGCAAAGTATACACTTAATATCCTGCCTGTATCAGGATACAGCAAGATAAACAACCATTTGGCCTGAACTATATCTAAGCCCTAGCGCTTAACAGTTGTTTTCATAATTTTGCAAACTTCCGCAGTGGGCTGTGATTGTGTTAAGGGTAGGAATAGTAGCTCTTTTGTTGTGAAATAAAGATGTCATTTCTTTGTGGTGTAGGTGGCATTTGAAGAGGTTGCTGTGTATTTCACAGATCAGGAGTGGGCCTTGCTAAATGTTGGTGACAAAGTCCTCTACAAGGATGTCATGCAGGAGAATTTTGAACACGTGATGTCATTGGGTGAGCATGAGAATTCTTGTTGTTTGCTGCACCAGGGATTCTAGATCAGGGCAGGGGTGGGCTTCAAAAATTTTAGCAAAGGGTTCTCTGCCTGGTTGCTGAGTGGCCGTGGCCATGGTGGGCGTGGCCTAGTTGGCCTCCTGCACCACAGTGGGGAGGGGGACTTTTTGCCCTCCCTGGGCTCTGAAGGCTTTCCTTGAGCCTCCAGGAGGGCGAAAACAGCCTCCCAGCCTCCGGAGGCTCTGTGGAAGCTGGAAACGGGCCCATTTCCAACCTTCCCGAACTTCCGGGAGGCCTGTTTTTTTGCCCTCCTTGAGCCTCCATGCACGCCCTGCACTTACCTGCATCCAAAACAGGCCGCGTGGGGACTCCTGGGAGGGGAGGTGTGGGGTGGGCAGAGCCAGCCAGGAGTGGGATTTGGGGGTTGTTCGAACTGTGCAGAATCTTAGCTAGGGGCTCTCCCAACCCCCTGCAAACCCCCAGCAGCCCCACCCCGGGTCAGGGTTGTCAAACTCGATTTCATTGAGGGCCGCATCAGAGTTGTGTTTGATCTCGGGGGGTGGGGGTGGGGGGGCAGAGTGGGTGTGGCCAAGGTGGGTGTGGCCTGCTCGATGTCACTCGCCGAGATTCCGTTTTCAACCATGACTGCTTCCTGCACTCCTCTGCCAGCAAAAATGGAGGGCGCAGTCTCTCCGGGCCTCTGTTTCTGCTGGCAGAGGGTTGCAGGAAGCCGTCGTAGCCAAAAGCAGCCCCAGGGGGGTGGGTTGTGCATCCTCCCTGAGCTCCATTTTTACTTGCAGAGGCACTGCAGGCGAGTCCTTTGCTGTTTCCAGGGTGGCCCTGCAGGCCAGATCTAGGCACTCCGTGGCCCGGATCCAGCCCCCAGGCCTTCGGTTTGACACCCCTGTTCTCTTTTAGAGAGGCATAGCTGAACTAGTTACTGTCTCGTGTTAATGTTTTCTGTAATTTCCAGGCATCCTTCTTGCTCTGAAAGAAAGCAAAATCGCGCCTTGTCTACTTTTGGTAACACCCTATTCTAGCTCTCTGGCTTTTCACCAGGTAGGCGTTTTATATATATGTGAGGCTGTACTTGGGAGAACAAAAATGCAAACACAAGATGTAGAAGAAAACGTGTGTCTCTGTAACATGCTTTAGTCATGTGAAAAATGTTGAAATGTGCTCTTTCTGTAACAAAACATAGTTAACCAGGCTCAACAATCTGAAAAGGAAACACTAGAGGATATTTTCCTTCCTTTGCGCTAATTGTTTTTTTAAAAATGGCAATTTTGGCTGCAGTCAGACCCTTTTTAAATAAGCCCTATTAAGCCCTATTATGTCCCAGGGGCTGCGTGTTGACCCACATTTCTGGAAAATGAGAGGAGAGAAAGTTAAAAAGTGCTGCTTTCTATGTTGCAGCATGAACACTACATAATGGGTTCTCTATTGACTTTTAAGCTACCTCCCCGGTAACTTAAAGTGATTAAAAACAGTATTTTTGAGGAAACTTTCAGTAAATTCACCCATGCCTCTTGTTGTTCTTCTTATTATTTTTCCCAGCTTTGATTTTGTGTTTGCAATTTGTATGGTAGGTTGTTTAAATCCTGCAGTTTTTGTATTGCGATATTGTGATTGCCAAGGATAAAAATAAATAAAAAAACAAACAAATAAATAAATAATATTTATCCATATATACTCTAATTAGAGCTTTGTTTTCAGCTGAAATCATAACCTTGATCCTTGGTGTTGTTGAATTTGTGGAGCAGGAGAGGGGGGAAAGGAAAGATATGGCAGCTGAACTATATTATTCAGTAATGTTAAAAGCAATTATGATTCATCTTCCAATTCCTTTTTCTGCTCAGAGCATATTCATTTATTTTTTTTATCTAGTAATAATCTAATATTACAGATGCACAGCCTGAGACTGGAAGTCCACCAGCTACATTTTAATTTTTAATATGATATATAATAAAATATTAAATACATGATTGGGAATTGATCTTATCTGTATTCAATTTAGAACATATGTATGAACAAATGAAATGCAGTCAAATGGAATTTTAGTCCTGGCTGCGCCACACTGTTTTTTTGTGGCCCCAAATCACTCAAAGCGTAGCCTCCAGCCCAGAAAAAGTGGATCATACCCTGCTGTCAGTCATTATGAGCAAAGAGAAAGATGCTGCTCTTATCACCCTACTGCCCAGATCGTTTGTTGGATGGAATCTTTCCTCAGTTCTTGGCCCCATTCCAAACTTCCCTGTATTTTCAGATTGGGTAATGTATTGGGTAATGTATGGCTGTGAACTTGCTGGAAGGGACTCTCGGGAATTAAAGATATGCCTATTTCCAATGTAGGTCTCATTTGAGGAGGTGGCCATGCATTTTTCTGAGCAAGAGTGGGCATTGCTGAATGTGAACGAAAAAGCCCTCTACAAGGATGTCATGCAGGAAAACTATAAGCATGTATTGTCCCTGGGTAAGTGATATATGCCTCCCGTCATCTCCTGTACTATTAAAACTTGGATTTTTTAAAGATTCTGTGTTACATGGTTTACATAAACAACCAATCAATCAGGCAATGATACACATGGACAAGATTATGAAGGACCAGGACATTTCAATTTTAACAAAGATCAGAACACGTAAAATATTGTTTTTTTCTAGCTGTAAATTATTATTTATTTTATTATGTTTTGAAACCGTCCATCTTCACACTTGGGATTGGCTGTGAAAGTTGGAGTCAGGGAAGGAATGGGAGAAATGAGATAATAAATGCCTTTGAATTATGGTTTTTTGGAGGTGATTATTAAAGCACATGGATTGATCGACAACTGTTGATCAACCGTTAATCAAACAAAGGCCAGTTGATCTTTCGAAGCAAAGATCAACAAGCAAAAACTCACTTATTTAGACAGATGATGTAAGGGAATGAAAGGATAAATAGGGTTATTATGCTTGACAGGGATGAAAAGACAAAGAGAAAAGGAAGACATCAGATAAAAGATCAGAGGTGTTAAACTCAAGGCCCACAGGCTGCATCCGGCCCTTGTGGTGCTTAAATCTGGCTCTAGGAGCTGGCCTGAAAATAACAAAGGACTGGCCTGCAGTGTCTCTGGCAGCCACAATGGGGTGTGAGGAGACCACGTGCCCCCCAATGCCCCTTTTTCAGTCTGGATGACCTCCTGCAGCACTGTGCTAGCCAAAATCAGGCACAGGGGGCCATGTGCCCCAACACACCCCATTTTTGGCCTGGACGGCCTCCACACTTTGTGCCCCCCCCCCCCCGTGCCCTGTTTTGGCTGACAAAGTGCTTCAAGAGGCGTCTGTCCCATTTCCCCCCCCCCC